AAAATTTTCAAATAAAATTTTCAAATCAATTGTTTTATGGTTGAATCTTCACGAAACAATTACAAATTTTAGATATAGACAAGCAAATTATATTTGCGTGTATATCTTGACTGTTATTTAATGGAGGCCTCTGAAACTTGGCTAAACTATAAAAACAAAGTATAGTATAAACGTAGCCCTGTTGTTTTAAATGTCAGAAACTATTATTAGCTCATGGGCCTGATTCCACGAGCGTTTTTCTCGACGAAATGCGAAACATTTCTACTTACTGCGAAAGCGGACAAAGTGGGACAATTCAATACAATCGCTCATGTGCAACCACCGTATTTCGCAGACACAAGTTCTCGCGACGAATTTTGCCGTCGTGGAATCAGGCCTTAAGGTCCAGACACACCGGACGCGATTCGACAACGCGACGCGATTTTTCAGTTAGTTTGAAAAACAGCCAATGAGAGCAAATCAGTTAGAAACATATGTAGACCAAGTAACTTAAAATGTTATAGCGCATCTAAATATTTGGAAAATTTAAACTTGGATCAAAGTTATCGGTCAGTGAAAATCGAAAAATCGCGTCGCGTTGTCGAATCGCGTCCGGCGTGTCTGGACCTTTAATGCGCAGATACATGTACGCGGTCGCGTACCTATTTTTCAGTATAGTAAAGACCCACGATATATCACCCAAAGTTTTCCATGTTTTAATGTATTAATAGTGCTTTATATATTTGTTGCGAACCTGCATGGCTTCTTAAACAGGTTCATACAAAATTCTAAATAGAAATGTTAGACTGAAAGGTTTTTATTCGTGGGTTTTCATTCTGCACGTGATAATTTGATAATCAAATTTATGAGTTTGCGTAATTTACACTGTTTATACGATATGCATGTATTCTGCATGGCAGATTTTTATGTTATTGATATGGTAAATATAAAATTGAAGAAAAAATTATGTGTGCTGAAATCTTTTTTTTTTGTCTTTGGAGACATTACTTCCTGCTTTGTTATTAAACTCGCCACTGGAGCAGCTTGTTTGCTATTACGTTCAAATCTGTGAAACGCCAGAGAGATCTATGAATGGCATTACTTTTGTTTTATTGATCATCTTACCTGCACGTACAATTTATTAACAAAAATATCTAAAACATGGCTTAACTGTAACTATTATTATTTGACATTTGCATTTGCGATTTTGAATAGTTTGTTTAACCATTAATGTTTAACCATTAATGGTTAAACAATACTATTGGTATTTAAATGGCAAATGGAAACGTCAAATAGACAATACACGTTTCTTTTCTGTTCTGTTCTTTTCGTACGACATTAAATGTGTTTTAAGGTTAAATAAACATACAAAACACCTTTGCTTAAAGTTGAGTAAAGACATGTACCTTTTCACAGTTTCAACACCACATTAAATGTGATTAAAGGTTAAATAAAGATGCAAAACACCTTTTCATAAAGTTGAGTAAAGGCATGTACAGGTACCTTTTCACAATTTCAACACATATTAAATGTGATTAAAGGTAAAATAAAGATTCAAAACACCTAAAGTTGCTTAAAGTTGAGTAAAGACATGCACCTTTTTACAATTTCAACACCACATTAAATGTGATTAAAGATGTAAAATACCAGAGCAGAAAAGCTTTGTATATGTAGCTTCAAGGTACCTTTACAACTCATTTCTCTTCGCAGTTAACCCTTTGGGTACCAAGTTAAATTTATATGATTTCGAAAAACGCAACCTCTCTCCTTCTCAATCTATTATAATTCAATATCTTCAAAATACTCCATATAAATTATATATCAATAGAAAGCACATATGGTATACTTTTCAAAAAACATGCTTTCATGGTTAATTATGCTAATTATGACGTCATATGACATCATTGAATTTTAACCAATAGTATTCGTCCATTCAAAATTCCATGATCAACCTTGAAATACACGGTCTGTGAGAAACATATAAGGTCCAATTCCATCATAAATGAAAAGGGCAAACAGATACAAGCAAAATCATACCAAATAAGTGACATATTCAGTTGTTCTGCATATATTGAGCTCACAATGTACAGCAATATACATGCCGGCAAAAATAGATATTTGCATTTTGGGGTTTAAATTCTGCGTTTGGAACCAAATACAAGGACTGGATGATAAACTATTGATACTAAACAATATTTTCCTTACATGCATAAGTTTAATTTTCATTGATAAAACTACATTACAAAACAAGAAAATTCAGTTATTATACAATGAAACACTATACATCATTGTATATCAATACTGAAACCCTCTACATGGGTGGGCTTACCCCACAATTTCTTAAATTGCCAAAATAATTTAACATACCAACAGCTATGATGTCCTTTGAATTCACACTGTAATCACACATTTTCTCTACCCATCTAAAACGCTTGTTTGGACTGCAAAATCAAACATATTGCGAAGCAACAGAAAATAGACGCCATTTTTAAAGCCCAAATGTATCTATTTCAATATCTGGACAATAATTTTTCAAAAATAAGAGGGTTTTATTTGAAAATTTGCTTCGATTCTTGGAAAATACTTGTCGCCGCCATGTTTGTTATGAATACATATGGCTTGAAGGGGATTGGTGGGGTTTTATGTGAATACATATGGATAAACACTAACCGGGTCATTTTGGCCCCTATTGGTACCCAACAAGTTAGAAACCTTTAATTCCCTTTAAACAAACTTTTCTCATTCTTTAATAGGTCGTCTTTAATCATCTATAATTATACTATAATTTGGTCATTTAATTAAAGCCTCCAGAAAAATCTTTAATCTGCATGCTGAAAGGAGAGTTTAGGTATATTTACTAAATTTAATCAAACTGATTAAATCTGATTAAAGCCGCCAATAACATCGCTTTACGCCACCTTTAGCCATGATGATAGCTACTGATTTCGTCCTGTGTACGCGAACGGCATCGTCTGAAACATTGCGAGACGGGGAGTGAACTCTCAGTGGAGGATGTCGTGATTATAAAGTCAAGCGAACGCAATAGGAATTGTTGGCCTCTTGCTGTTGTAGAGCGTCTGATCGTCGGAAAGGATGGATTCGTGCGACCCGCCAAAGTACGAACGGGCAAGAGTATTTTAGAACAGGCTGTCCAACAATTATATCCATTAGAGCTGTCGTGCGATCGTACCTGCCCAGTCGCGACTCAACCCCTGAACCACAACGCCAAGCCATTCCGACCACGCAGACAAGCAGCCGTTGAAGCAAAGAAATGAATCAGGGACATTGTTGCTGACGTTGAGCAATAACTTTTAACATAGCTAATATTACTACTATACATTGATAAATTGATGATGAATTTATATATCGATGGACGTTCAAATTTGTTCTAAGTTTTATAATTAATACATATATCTCTTTACAAGCTATTTGGGGGAGTGTGTAGAAAACATTAGTCCAGTTAAGATATTGAGAACTTTTTCCTTACCATATAAGCATGTGTATTTTCTCGCCTCGTGTATCGTGTACAAATAAACAGGTCTATTGCATCTTTGTGAGTGATTTTATCGGGAATAAATAGGAAACCTTCAGTGTTTTCCACAAATACATCAAAATAATTCCACCTTGCATCTTGTGCTGGCAAAGCGGGGTGATAGAAACAGTCCCTTGTATAGCAAATTGCTCATGTTGCCTTGCGATCTATTGGCAAGTGAGGCAGCACTTTCCTTGCGACAGTAACTTTTAGTTATTTATAATATTTATTTCAATTAAGGTTGTCCCCTGAGCAAAGCGGGAAAGTCGAATACGAGCGCGAAACGCAGGTTGGGAATCGCTAAAACAAATCATATATTAATTTTTCAGCGATTTCCAGCAAGCCTTTCGCGCTCTTATTCTACTTTCCGCTTTGCTTGGGGACAATCTTAATTGAGATAGTTGTATACGTACAGTACATATAGTCGAATCAGAAAACCAATATATGAAAGCCCCTTTTTATCATTTTAATGACATGGATATTATCGAAAAAGATTTATTGTTGCCATGCAGCCACTTCGTGCAAGCGATACTTTTTAGTTTATAAAAATGGAACAGCAATATAGTGTTCAATTCGAAAGCATAGACGAGGCATATATTAAGGTGACGTCATAGGGCGTTACATTGTTCTTCCTTATACCTGCACGAAATTACACAAAACGTAATATATTTATTTTCAATGTTTCACAGTAATATCATAACTCCAACTTTGGGCAGTTACTGAGCGGAAATGGCGACTTCACCGAGAGCTCTTAGAGTCTTAGCCAATCAAAACTCTTGAATTATTTTCAATAAATAATAAACGCATTTGTTGGGTGCTATAAGTGAAATATAATTAAACTATAGCGGACTAAATACTAAAATAACTATTAATAACATATCGATCGATGTTCCATAAGAAACATGCATTTCGGGGTGAAAATATTGACAAATGCAATGACTGGTATATATGGTTGTGCGCACAAATTAGCATGTTCCTTTGTCCAAGGATGAAACTGAAGATTAAGCACTCGGCAAATCATCTGTATCCTTGCGAACTAGGCTACATATGTTGCGAGAAATATTTCGCCAAAAAGTATCACTATCTTAGAAGTTCTGTAATTCTAAGTGGTAGACAATGTTTAGTATACCAAGCTGACGACTGCTCAAAAGAATTCTCTTATAATTTGATAATGGGCAAATTTAAATATATATAAAAACCATCTAAGGGGGTCTTTAGGTATAAATACTATGACAAAGAATGTTTTTATCAAAGATCTAATATATTATGGCTAACTTAATTTAAATTAAAGCTATTTTACATGTGAATAGTCATAATGGCCTTGTGGTATGCAGTCAATGCAGTCAATAACTTAATTAAATAAAGTATGAAACAAAATTCAATAGAATGATGTTAATTACACGATAATATTCCAGTACTGCAAATTGCTTCTCATTATCACTTCCACACCTAAGCTATCTTGCTGTATACATGATGTAGCAGTGTTTTCGCTAAAGGGTGGCGAAAAGAGGAGGACGCCGCCCTTCTACCTTTCTCCCCAGTGACCCACAGCTTTTTAGTGTAGCTCTATAGCTAGATTCATTATGTATAATCCAGGCCGCGCCTATCTCACGTACTTGTATATATAATGCACATGTACATATAGTTGGATCAGAAAACCAATATTTGAAAGCCCTTTTTTATCATGGATATTATGGACAGGTAGATTTGTTATTGCCAGCGACTTCATACGTCAAGCATTACTTTTGATATTTATCGTAAGCGGTTCTCATGGGAAAATCCAGTAACTTCAATTGAAGTCTTCTGAGTTCAGTGGTGCAGTAACTTGACACTTATCTGAAGCACCATCTTTATATACAACATAAACGAAACGTATATATTTATTACGCGTGTTCGGTGAAATAAATTTAACTATACGAGATTAAATTCCTTATATATTTAGATGTCGATGTTTCATAAAGATGCCTTCCAGCATGGGAAAAGAGGCATTTCGGGGAAAAATATTTGACAAAATGAAGATGACTGCAATAAGATTGTGCGTACAAATTATATAAGCAAGCTACCACTTTATTTTTTAAGCATGTTTCTTTGTTCAAGGAAGAAACAGAAGAATGAATATGCACTTGGTAAATCATCTGTG